GCAGTTGGTAGGGTTGGGAGTGGAGAAAGGAAAAAAGAAGAACTCTGTAATTTCCCTCAGAGCTTGGTCCTCAGAACCTCCCAGCGCTTTCACGCAGTTGCTGCAGAGAGTAGCCACAAGCACCTCATCTCCAGAAAAATCCTGTTGCTCAACTGTTTTCTGCCTCAGGCTGTGCTGAGTCAGTCGACCAGCTGGACATCTTCACTGGCTTCAGGACAGATTGATCTGGGTTTGCCTTTTCCATGACAGAGCTAATCCACTCTTTAGTGTTCTGTCCTCTTAGAGTTTTCCCCACCCAAAAGTGAGGAAAAGGAGAGCAGGAGTGGAACCATGTCTTGAGCTCTGTTGAGCTGACAACAGACAGTGTGCCTTTTTACTCCGAGATGGCCAATGGCCTTGTTGGTGCTCTTCCTTGAATAGCAAAATGGTCAGCTTTGGGCTCCTTTTCTCTACCCCTCCAGAATACCTTTCCCTTTTATTTGATCTTCCCTCTACCTCAGAAGTCCTTCACTTTTTTGTGTGGTATGGACTCATTGTATAGACCTGCTCTCAAAACAAAATATTTTAATACATAAAATAAAATATGTAAGCTTACAAAGGAAACTACTTGTATTAGTAGCATGCACTGCTTTGTTTTTGAAACAGGATCTCACTCTACAGCTCACACTGGTCTTTAACTCAAGGCAGTCCTCCTGCCTCAGCACCTCAAATGCTGAGTGTGTAAGCATGAAACCTAGCTTAGACTATCCTTTTTCAAGTGATGGGAGTGTGGAGACAGGGTTTGTTTGTTTGTTTGTTTGTTTTTCGAGACAGGGTTTCTCTGTAGCTTTGGAGCCTGTTCTGAAACTAGCTCTTGTAGACCAGGCTGGCCTTGAACTAAGAGAGATCCAAGTGCCTATGCCTCCCTCCCGAGTGCTAGGATTAAAAGCAAGCATATCCTTTTTGATAATTTAAATAATAAAATCTAGAAATATATATAACTATCACAATTTTTAAATAAAGATGAGCACAAATGATACTTCGGTATTTGTAGCGGTTACATCAGAGATACCTACTATTGGGTTGTAATTCACTGGTGACGTGCTTGCCCAGCACAGGTAAGATTCTGAGTTCTATTTCTAGCAGTTCAAAACAGCATAAACACCTAATGTCTATTAGTTATTGTCTCAGTACTGTTGTTACAATATGCCTTCCTTTATGATCAAAGAAAAGGGTGCTTTTTGGCCAGAGGTAAGGGAAAATGAAATTGTAATTTTCCTCTCTAAATTCAGAGACCAACCCTTGAATTCTGTGGCTCATGAGGTTCAAGGTGTATGGGGAGGGGGTTGCCAAAGCTATGAGAGAAGGTAATACTGTGAAATATTTAAATTAACCATTTATTTACCCAGTTTGTAGAGGAAGATGCACACAGAATCCAACTGATGCAGAATGTTCATTTTCCCAAGTACAAATATTAAACTGTTGAACATGATTCTGGGAGAAGAGTCATCTACAGATATTTACCTTCTATTTTTTTTTATTTTTATTTATTTATTTATTTATTTATTTTGGCTGATGGAGTGGAAGGAATTACCTTCTAAAATTGTCTCCTAACACCTTCAGAAAGGGAAGCAGCCCCACTGACATCTTGATTTTTGCCTGACGTATGATGTGTGGACTTTGGTAGGACTAAAGAATGATGAGATTGCACCGTTTACACTGTTGGATTTGTGATAGTTTACTACTAGCAAGCAGTTAATGTACTGATACCACCGCATTTATTTCTCCTTAGTAGAGGTGGTAAAGGGGGCAGTATTTCATGCCAGGGACTTCTAGAGTTGCGCGTAAAGACTCTTCTACCTACCGTGTGGGTGTGGCTTCTGGGACTGACTCTTCCCTTCGTTTGCCTTATTAAAGCAGCGTGGTTGCGATTTCCTTAACTCTTTAGCGTTACTCAATTATACTCGTTTTCTCTTTAAGAAATACTCAGCTGGGAGTGAGAGTGCATGTCTTTAATCTCAGGAGGCAGAGACAGGAGGATCTCTGTGAGTTTGAGGCCAGTCTGATCCACAAAGTGAATTCCAGGACAGTCAGGGCTGTTACACAGAGAAACCCTGCCTCAAAAAAAACAGTAAATAAACAAATGTTAAAAATAAGTACTCTAACCACTCCAAAAGCCATGTTACCATAACATTTAATTTAGAGTGGGCCTGTAAGTACAGTTATGTTTTTTTAATGCTGTTACTTATAATATTTATTTGTGTGTGTGTGTGTGTGTGTGTGTACACGTGTATTCATACCACTGCCAACATATGGAGGTCAGAGGACAACTTTCAGGAATCAAATGTTTCCTTCCACCATGTAAGTCTCAGGGATTGAACTCTTGTCGTCGGCTTAGTGGCAGCACCTTTACCTGCTGAGCCTCTTTCCAGCCCCAGCTGAGAGTTTTGACAGACCCTATTGCAGTCTCTTAAATATAATTTTTGTCCTATGTGAAGCAAAGAGCAGTTAGGCAACAAGGGGAAGAATCACAACTGCTAACCCCAAGGGAAGTTGCCCAGAATCCCAACAGTGGTTTCAGTGCAGACTGGTGGTGTCAGCTCCGAGGAGCCACACCTGCCTTCCTGTACTAAGAAAATCACACTTGGGACTGGAGAGATGGCTGCGCAGTTAAGAGCACTGGCTGCTTTTCCAGAGGACCTGGGTTCACTTCCCAGCACCCACAAGGCAGCTCACAACTGCCTGTAACTCTAGTTCCAGTGGATCCAACTCCCTCAAACACAAATGTATATAAAAGTTTAAAAAAAGAGAGAAACGGAAAGAATAAAGTTTACTCACTGAAAATTAAAGTTTATGAAGAAAAGAAAGTCACACTGATGGCCTGTGCCTAAGAGTTTGAGGTGGATAATTGTTAGAGATTACCCATTTGGTCTTAACAAACGTGCGCTCTTCCTGCAGTCTTTCTAGCACAGCTCTTAGATAGCATTAGCCCACTGTGCTCCTACTGCAACAAGCAGAAGCTTTCGGACATGCTTATCAGTGGAGCCACCTGCTATAATTAACAGCCAGGAGTCAGCGGGTGTGGATATCTGAGCTAGGAACCCTGTCTGCTGACAAAAGAGAATGCTGCTTTCGACAAAAGAGAATGCTGCTTTCATGTAACAAGGACAAGGGGAGATAGGCAGGATAGTTTCTTGACTCTATCTACTACAAGACGCTATTTTCATTGGCTGCCTAGAAATGCTTCCTCTTTCAAACTGATAGGTAGCTGTAACTTATTACCAAGGAGCTAGAGTGTTTTTGAAAGCAGGCTCTGAGTAGTTCAGTGTGGGCTTGAACCTGCTGCCCTGCGTTATCATGACTGTTTACTAAAAAGTCTTACAAGTATGCTTTATAAAGCATTAGACTTGGCTCTGCATTCAGTGTACTGTGTGTGTCTCTTCATTCTCCAAAAATGAGTTTATATTGGAATTTTACTTGTTCAAAACTAGCTTTCTTAAAACATGCAAAAAAACATTTTTTTTCTTTTCTTTTGGTTTTTCAATACAGGGTTCCGCTGTAGCTTTTGGAACTAGCTCTGTAGACCAGACAGGCTGGCCTCAAACTCATAGAGATCTGCCTGCCTCTGCCTCCTGAGTACTGGGATTAAAGGTGTGCACCACTGCCCCGGCTCTCCAGGTTTTCTATCTGAAGAGGCTGGTCCCATGGGAAAGAAGTGGAATCAGGTGGCTTCTGAGATTATAGGGAGTGAAAGTGTAGAAAGGAAGTGGTTGTATAGGGAGGGTGGCCAAGCGGTGTTTGAGGCAGGAAGTGCTAATTTTGTTTTCATTTTCTTTGTCTTCTCAGAAGTAATTCAGTTTTGTTCGCTAGATTTGGGAGCAGCTAGAGAAGGGACCACTGTCTCTGACAGATGAGAATACTATCTGAGAATCTACCGCTGAACCTCATTAACAAAGAGCAGCCCCCGTGAAAGCATTATTTGCTAATACAAATCAAATGCAACTAAAATTATCTGTTCTGGAAAGGGAAATGCCCAATATGAAGAGGAAGCTGTTTGCATGACAAACTCAGGGAGTATCCCAAAAGAGCTGTCATTTTACTTTGTTCTGTGGGTCAAAAAAAGGCCTGTCCAAAGGACAGACTCCCTCAGATTCGTTAAGGGAATGCTTTAGGGAAAGTTCCTTTCGTCAGGTCTTTTAACTGACTTGACCTTAGGGCCTGACTTCAAAGCCCTGCAGTACCACAAGCTGTGTGCTTGTGTGCTGTACAATCTGTCTTTGTTCGTGCTGGTACCGGCCCGGGGATCCTCCCTACCCTTGTTTGTGACTCTGCACTGAGCTTTTAATAAAGGCCAAGGACCAACTGTGTTTTCACTGTGTGACCATTAGGCCACGCATTACTGGTTTTATTTTTCAGCCTACCATGGAATATGGCTAAAATTTCTGTTCATGTGAGTTCGATTTAAACAACAACAACAACAAAACCTGAACTGTATTTCTTAGCAGCGTTAGATAGAAAGTGTTATGTCTTCCTATGTCTGTCAGGTGGGTCAGGAATGTCTAAGCTTCAGTTAACAATTTAGCCAATACCTCAAAGGAAGCCTAGAACCAGAGCTTGAATTCGAAATTCCAATGTGGTGTGCTTGTCACTAGAATATACCCTGTCAGCATTTGAAATAATAAAGGTCATTAGCTGAGAAACAGAAATGCATTGGGGCAGATTTTAAAAATTATCTGTGTATATCCATATCTATGTGTGTATCTTGTGGCTTGGGTATCATATTCCAGCAAGATTACAGTTATAAAAATTAATCCTAAACCGTGTGATCTTAGCCCTGAGGCCACCTGAGCAGCGGCAGTCTCAACTCTAGCAATGATTTGCCGCTTACTGAACTGGCTAACTAGCCAGCCTGTCTTCTTCTAAACACCTGTAGGAGCAGAGGGACACTACAGTCACTTTCTAGGTAGGCTGAGTTGGTTTTTAATGGTTCTATCTTATTCAGAGTATCTCTTTGTTTTCAGAGTCAGCCCCAGTCTCCAAAGAAAACCACATCCCTTTTTCCTATCAAAAATGGTTCCAAAGAAAATGGGATCCATGAGGAACAAGATCAAGAGCCACAGGATCTCTTTGCAGGCAAGTAGAGACTCAGAGTTTAAGTACCTTCTAGTCACCTTTATTAAATTATGAATTATTAAAGTCAAAACCACCATACATATGCATAAGTTGAAAAGCTTCAGCCCAGCCCAGTACAATGGAGGTCTATGTCTGTGATCCCAGCTCTTGGAAACTGAAGGCAGGAAGATCAGGAGTCCGAGGTCATCTAAAAAACTACAACAAAATTCCTAAACAAACAAAACAAATCCTTTAAAAAAAAAAAAAGTCAGGCAGTGGTAGTGCACATTTAATGTCAGCACTTGGGAGGCAGAGATAGGTGGTTCTCAGTGAGTTCAAGGCCAGCCTAGTCTACAGAGCACTTGGGAGGCAGAGATAGGTGGTTCTCAGTGAGTTCAAGGCCAGCCTAGTCTACAGAGCAAGTTCCATAATAGCCAGGACTGTTACACAGAGAAACCCTGTCTTGACAAACCAAAAAAAAAGAAAAGAAAGAACATGAGCTAAATTATTAAATGTTAGAAATGTGGTCAGGGGAATTATAGAAATACTGTATCAGCTGGGCAGTAGTGGCACATGCCTTTAATCTCAGCACTTGGGAGGCAGAGGCAGGCGGGTCTCTTTGAGTTCAAGTCCAGCCTGGTCTACAGAGCAAGTTCCAGGACAGGCTCCAAAGCTACAGAAAAATCCTGTCTTGAAAAATCAAAAAACAAATTAAAAAAAGATCTCTCTCCCTTTTCTCTTTCTTCTCCCTTTCCCTCATCACTCTGTGACCCAAGCTAGCTTCAAACTCACAACACTCCTTCTGCCTCAGCATCCCAAGTCTGAGGTTATAAGCATGAAGCTTAGATTACATTGTGCCCATATGATACAGCATCCTTTTATGTAGCTCAAGATGGCCTCAAACTCCTTACCATTCTGTTTTCCTACTTCAACTTCTTAGGAACTTTTTCTTTCATGGTACTGGGAATTGATCCTAGGTCCTCACATACATTAGGCAAGTGTCCTTTTGCTGAATTAGGTCCCCAGCTATCTTAGTTAGGGTTTCTATTGCTATGGTGAAACAGCACAACCAAAATCAACTGGGAAGGGAAAGATTTATTTTGATGACACTTCCACCCACAGTCCATAATCACAGAGGGCAGAACCTGGAGGCAGGGGCTGATGCAGAGGCCGTGAAGAGTGCTGCTCACTGCCTTTCTTCTCATAGCTTGCTCAGCCTGCTTTCTTACAGAACCTAGGACCAGCCCAGGGATGACCCCATCCACAATGGATTGGGCCCACATCAAATACTAATTAAGATACCCTACAGGGTGTCTACACCCCAATCTTACAAAAACATTATTCAACTGAGGCTCCCTTCCCTTGGATGACTCTTGCTCCTGTCAAGTCAGCATAAAAGCTAGACAGGACACCAATCAGTTTTTGTTTGCTTGTTTGGTTGAGAAAAGGGCTCGCCAAATTGCTCAGGTGGACCTTGAATTATCAATCCTCCTGCCTCAGTCTCATGAGTAGCTAGATTTTAGGTCTGTGCTCTAGGCCTGGCTGGAGTGCTGGGGTCACAGGTACAACCTATTACACTCAGTTTCACCCAAAGGTTTTCAGTGAACAGTACACGCTTCACTTACTAACTTCATCTGTTGTGTTGGATCTCGTGAACCTCCCTCCAATACAAGCTTGAGCTGGCTGCTTGTTCCAAAGACCTCACAACCTAACACACTCACTCGTTCTGTGTGTGCTGCTTCCTCTTTTATGTCCCCATGGCAGGATCTTTTGCAGAAATGACTCACTTTCAGTTGTCAGCACAGTAATCTAAACTCCTATGGTTCTGCCTAGCTCCCCTTTCAAGTCTAGAAAGAAAAGGAAGCAGCTTTCCCTGTAGTCACCAAAACTAAACTGAACATGTAACAGTCAGACCCACAAGTGGATATTTATGTTTTTCTTTACTAAAAAGAAAAGCAATGAACTGGTTGGGGTTAGAACTTCTAGCTTCGTTGCTCCACATTGGAAGTGCATTTGCATAAGAAATTTTAATTTCTAAAAATGGTACAGAATGCTATTTTAGAAGTCATTTCTCCAGAACACTTAGAGAACGAGTTGTTCTGCTCACCTGCATTTTCAGAGAGGCGGCTCTTAAAGAGCAAATCTTCTGCTCTTACAGAGCAGATCTGGTGGTGCATGCTTTTAATCCCAGCACTCGGGAGGCAGAGGCAGGTGGGTCTCTGTGAGTTCAAGACCAGCCTGGTCTACAGAGAGAGTTCCAGGACAGGCTCCAAAACTACAGAGAAACCTTGTCTCAAAAAATCAGAAATATATATATATATACATATTCAGATCTTCATTCTGAAAACTGTTCTGATCAGAAATGTTTTGAGGGACTGCTACGCCCCTCCCTATTCTAACGGCATTTACAAACTATAGCTTAATCTGTTGGGATATAGCTAAACTGTCTTGTGAGGAGTTCTTTTTGTTTATTTTTGTTTTGTTTTGGTGTTTTGGTTTGGTTTTTCATGACAGGGTTTCTCTGTGCAGCCCTGAGTGTCCTGGAGCTTGCTCCGTGGTTAAGGCTGGCCTTGAACTCACAGAGATTCTCCTGCCTCTGCCTGCCAAGTGCTGGGATTAAAGGCATGGGTCACCAGTGCAGGCTGTGACTAGTTCTTGAACTGTCAGTGTAACTCATGTGTACCAAACCACCCTTCCCCAAGTGTTACTGTGTATTTTCTAGTTGATACTTTTCCTGAGGCTTCCTCTGATGTGTGATTGCCGGTTCTGTCATGCTGTTTATAAAGCAGATAACCAAAGGTGCTGTCTTGTACAAACAACTAAAAACAAGAATAAATGAGTCTCAGGTAAGGTTTTAAGTGACCACTCCCAAGAATAAAATTATTTAAGCATTTATTTTGGCTGTGGAGTCGTTTTGCTAGATCATTGTTTCTTTGACATAAGGTAGCCAAACAGTTGTGTCTGGGCAGAAGAGGGAGAGCTTACTCTACCAAACCCGTGATGATAACAGTCCCTCAGTGTTGTCTCCTTTGAGTCGTGTCAAAATTCCGTGGCTCTTGTTTTTGTTGTGTTGGTGCTCGCCATTTTTCTTGTGGAAAACCCATTATTGACACTCATTTTAAAATATCAACTGTTCCCAGATGCCACAGTGGAGCTCTCCCTGGACAGTACACAGAATAACCAGAAAATGATGCTAGCCAAAACCCTTAGTTCTCATTCTCTGCAAGGAGCCACAAATTCTCCGAAACCGCAGCCAAGCTACGAGGAGGTGAGACTAGCACTGTTGGTCATCTTGCTTTTGTGTCTTTAGGACTGTGTGCTGCCAGTCTGGAGTTCATTTGGATTTGAACCTGAGTAAAGATTTACAGCTCCTGACGACCTCCATGCACAGCCAGAATCCAAACAGGAACTCTTTCTTAGACAGCACAAAGGCTTTGCTGGTCACTGGTGCTATTTACTGTCAGAAGCTCCCATAAGCCTTGCTCTATTTCCTCTTTGCCCAAAAAAGGCCAAGTCTGCCAAAATCCTATAATTATTATCATGAAAGTAAGATTTTAAGGAATCGATGTGAAAGTGACCTGTGAACTGGTTCACATCTTAAACTGTGAGTATTGGTTCACTGGAGCTCCTGGAAATGAACAGAATTGAACACTGAAAAGTACATCTTGACTTTGTTATATTGGCAGGTGTTGAATGCTGTGTAATGTCTAGCCTTCTTTATGTCAACTCTCTCCATTTTTCTTTAAAAGCTAGAGGAAGAAGAGCAGGAGGACCAGTTTGATCTGACAGTCGGTATTACTGATCCTGAGAAGATCGGTAAGGTCCTTGGACTCTTGTGATGCTATAAGGGGTCCTAACGAGCTAGTTTGGGAGTGGCTCTCCCCAGAGCTAAACCAGCAAAAATGAAGTGTTTCATCAGTGTCTTTCCTGGAACTAAGCTTTTTGATCACATTTCTTGGGATTTTTTTCCTTATCTTTAGGAAGAAAAAAACAGAGACATAAAATATAGTTATAATTTTTAAAAACTCAGACGGGGGGACGTGGCTGGAGAGATGGCTCAACATTATGAGCACTTGACTGCTCTTCCAGAGGTCCTGAGTTTAATTTTCAGCAACCACATGGTGACTCACAACCATCTGTAATGGAACCAGATAGATTTCTTCCTTTGGTTTCTGGTGTGTGTGAAGACAGAGCACTCACATTCATAAGTAAATAAACCTTAAAAAAAAAACACACAATTAAAACAGGTCCAGAAGATGACGAAGGTCACCTGCAGCCAAGTCTGGCACCTGAGTTTGATTCCCCAGGGCGTACATGTAGGAGAGAACACACTCTGAGAGTTGTTTCTGACCTCCACATGTGTATCATGGTGTGACCATGCCCACACTCATACCTATAAACACAAAATTAATTAATAATAATAAATAAGAAACCTCAAGCAGGGGCTGGAGAGACGGCTCAATACTTAAGAGCACCCAGTTAAGAGTACTTTTGTAGAGGACCCAGTGCCTAAAGTTGGTGACTCACAACTGCCAGCTTCACCAGCAGGGTGTTTATGGGTATCTTGTTCAGTTCCTTCACCTACCTGAAGAGGGAAGAGAAGACCAAAAAGAAAGTAGTGTTTCTGTTAAGGCACAGTGTGGCATAGGTAAAAGTAGGACCAGGGCTTTGGGTACATATCTAGGAATCTCTTGCCTAGTCTAGAGCTACGAATATTGCGTAACATATTCGTTTTAAGCTTAGTTGCTAAAATCCTTAATAGAAATTACAAATGGTACTGTTTGAACAATTACTGCTATGATTTTGAACCAGGAGAGCGAATGTATTAGTTACCTAGATCTGCTGTAGTAAAGAACTTGAAGACTTAAAACGATAGAAGTAAGCTAAGGATGGTGGGTCACAACAGTATCCCCCACACTCAAGTGCCTAGATGGGAGTTTGAGACCAACCTGGGCTACAGTGTGAAAACCTGTCTCGAAACCCAGCAGTAGTGGTGCATGTCTTTAATCCCAACACTTAGGAGTCAGAAGCAAGCGAATCTCTGAGTTTGAGGCCAGCATGGTCTACAGAATGGGTTCCAGGACAGCCAGGGCTACACAGAGAAAAGGAAAAGAAAACTTATCTCAAAAACAAAAGCTAGAGATTTTCACACAGTTCTGAGGCAAGAAGTCCCAAAATCATTGTGTGGGTATGGCCACACTCCTCTGACATCATGGTGTGGGCATGGTCACGCTCCTCTGACATCATGGTGTGGGCATGGCCATGCTCCTCTGACATCACGTGTGGGCATGGCCACGCTCCTCTGACATCATGCTGTGGGCATGACCATGCTTCTCTGAAACTGGAAGGGAAGGTAGGCCCTTGCCTGTGCTCTGCTTTCGAGTAGTCTGAGGTGTGCTTTGGCTTGAAGATGCATCATTACATTGTCTTCATTATCCCGAGTCATTCTGAGTGTCTCCACATCATCAATCCTCTAAGAATGTCTATCCGAGTTGCCCTGTTTTTTTAAGGACACCCCTCATGTTGAACTTAATTCACCCTGATGACCTCGTTTTAACTTCATTATATCTGTGAAGACAGTGTTTTCAATAAAGTCATGTTATGAAGTACTGACCCCACACTATAGTTTAATTTAAACAGCTCACAAATTGGATCTGAACACATTTCTCCAGTTGCTTTCATCCCCTTCTGTATTGTCTGAATTCTTGGTTGTGTTGATTCTAAGAAACCAGCTAATTAAAACATCTTTCTGTCCAGGACCCGGTCTGTCTGTCTGTCTTTCTTTCTTTCTTTCTTTCTTTTCCTTCTTTTCTTTCTTTTGTTCTTTATTTATTTATTTATTGTTTCTTTGAGGCAGGGTTTCTCTGTATCTTTGGAACCTGTCCTGGAACTAGCTCTTGTAGACCAGGCTGGCCTCGAACTCACAGAGATTTACCTACTCTGCCTCGTGAGTGCTAGGATTAAAGGTGTGTGCCACCACCACCCGGCCAGGGCCTATCTTTATAAACAAGTTCTGTTTGTGTGGGCTGTTTAGTCAACAGGCACGTCTCCTTCCAGTATACATCTAAATAAATTAGAATTGTACATTTACCAGGAGATCCTTTTTAGAGGCTTGACAATTTTCATATGCTATTCCAACTTGGAAGTTATTTTAGGAACTCTGTGTGCATTGTCAGACTGTCATGTGACCCAGCCACTTTCAGGACTTGTGTACCTCTCTTCACACATGCTGCCATGGCTGCAACAGTGTCTGGAGACCCTGCAGGGTACCTAGAGGTCATGCTTGGCTAATGTGCTCTGTGGACATGCGCACTTAGACCCCTTCCTTGTGGCTACTAAATTATGGAACTGGATGTGGCTATTCTAAATAGGTGAATTTTGATTAAACTCAAGGATTTTGTTGTTGTTTTTCAAGACAGATTTCTCTATTTAATAGCCCTGGCTCTCCTGGAACTCGCTTTGTGGACCAGGCTGGCCTCAAATTCACAGAGATCTGCCTGCCTCTATCTGCTGAATTCTGGGGTTAAAGGTGTATTCCCCCACGCCCAGTGCAAGAATTTTTTTTTTTTTTTTTTTTTTTTTTTTTTTTTTTTTTTTTTTTAGTGAGTGGTAAACAGTCTGAATATCAGTGTAAGGTAATTCCTTTAGTTTAGCTTCTAAATCCTGTTTTGCAACACCCTTTTTGGTAGGTATTGGTGAGATAAGACATGTATGTCTCCTATCTCTATATAATTTCTAGCTTCTATAATTTGCACCCAGCACAGTGAAATGATGTGGCAGTATGTGAACTCCACTGGTCCAGTTCTACCTCTTCTCCCTGGCCCTCACTCCAGAATCAGATAAGAAGCAAAGGCAACTGGGAATTGTTGACCTAGGCTTTCCTGGTTCATAAGAGGAGGAATCAGAGAAAAGGAAAAAGAAAAAACAAAACAAAAGACCCTAAACCCCATGGTGCAGTGCTGGATTCCAATATATGTCTTTTGGGCGCTTAGGAAGTCAATAGTGCCTTTATCTCCCTAAGTGGTCTAGGTCAGGACACTGCCACAGAGAAAAACAGTTGCTTGAATCCAAGATTATTTAACAGTCAAAGGCTTTTTCATAAAAATAATTCCTCCAGGAAAGGGAGATTTTTGTGACATCAGGCAGCCCAAGTGTCTTCCTGCCAGGCTCTTTGCTCTGGGTGAACGCACTGGATCAGAGAGATCAGTGTCTCCAGCAGCAGTGGTCGGATCTCTGAAAGAGCAGAGCAAGCCTGGAGCTAGCTTAGGGTAGAACTGCTTGTTTCCTTTTACAGCAGTTGCTTCCTTCTCCTGCTTTATACAGCAAGAGAATTGTTTGATTTTGGACAGATGTGTATAACCAGACCGAATACTGGCATGGTAACAACTGATGAATTGTCAGTAGCCGGTGCTGCTTTGTGGAGGGTATAAATGGAGCCTAGCTTTGGAACAGGGGACTGACTCTCTTGTCTAACTCAAACTGGGGCCCAGCCAGCATCTGTGGGGGCATGTGTGCCACACAACCCCTGAGACACAGGAAAAACTGGATTTTAGGATTACATATAAAGCCTGGAAATGAAACAAGCCTGTCTAATAGAGGCTCTGTAGCTATGGTCTAATAGAGGCTCCTGTAGCTATGGTCTTGTTAAATGTTACTGGATCAGTTTTCCTTTCTTTAGTTAAAAGAATAATTCTCTCCTTTCTTGTTCTCCCACAGGGGACGGTATGAATGCCTATGTAGCCTACAAAGTCACTACACAGGTGAGTTCCAGTGACATTGCCGATGCACCTCAGTAGACCTGGTTGCTCATACATAGGTTAACATTTAGAGTATTCCTGGGCATCTTTTTGTTTGGTTGATTTTTTTTCCAATAAACTTTTCCTATTTATTCAAGCCATAGCAAGTCTATAGTGCCTTGGTAATCTTTATTTTATTTTATGTGCATGAGTGTTTTGCCTGCATATATGCATGTGCATGCGTGGTGCCCACAGAGGCCAGAGAGAGTGTTAAATTAAAACCCCTTGGAACTGGAGTTACAGATGGTTGTAACCTGCCATTTGGGTACTGGAAACTGAACTCAACCCAGATCCTCTGGAAGAGCAGCCATTGATCTTAACCTCTGAGCCATTTCTCTAGCCCCCTTGATAATCTTAACTAGGTACACCAGAGTGGGTTAGTGTTTCTTTTTCCTTCCTTCCTTCCTTTCTTTCATCTTTTTTTTTTTCCGACAGGGTTTCTCTGTAGCTTTGGAGTCTGTCCTGGAACTTGCTCTGTAGACCAGGCTGGCCTTGAACTCACAGAGATCCCCCTGTCTGCCTTCCAAGTGCTGGAAAAGCCAGAAAACTAATATATGAAACTTTGCAAGGTTTAGAATGTACAACATATCTGACTTTTACCCCATCACAGGAACTGTGTGACTAGAGCTAGTTTAGTGGATTGCCTCAAGTGAAGAGTAACTGTCTAAAACTTCAGTTCTTGGGCCAGGCAAGGTGGACCACATCTTTAACCCCAGCACTAGGGAGGCATAAGCAGGAAGGTCAGGAGTTTGAGAACAGTCTGAGGTACTTAAAATGAGATCCTTTTTCAAAGAAACAAAAACTATGTATATGCAGCTAGGCGGTGCATATACACTCGGGAGTCAGAGGTAACTGGTGGACCCAATCTCTGTAAATTTTGCCCATCTGGTGAATATAGTTGTGTCTTCTAATGTATTCCCTAGCTTTCCTGCCCCACCCCTTTTTTCGGAGACAGGGTTTCTCTGTGTAATATCTCTAATTGTCCTGGAACTAGCTCTATAGACCAGGCTGGGCTCAAAGTCACAGAGATCCGCCTACCTCTGCCTCCAGAATGCTTGGATTAAAGGCAAGTGCCACCACCACCTGATCCTGCCTTTTTTAATTAAAAAATGCTTATGAGTGATTTTGTGTGTGTGTGTCGGATCTCCTAGGACTAGATTGCATACAGATGATTGTGCTGCACTGTGTGGTGTGGGTGCTGGGAGTTGAACCTGTGTTCTCCAGAACAGCCAGTGCTTTTAACCACTGAGCCATCACCCTAGTCTTTTCTTTTTTCTTTTTTTTTTTTTACTTTTATCAGGAGACTTTTTTATGTTTCTCTCTAATACTCCATGGCTCTCCTGTGGACTCTAAAACCCACAACACTTTAGAAGTTATTATCTACAGACTTCTTTTTGTTTAATATTTACTTATTGTTTATTTAATGTTTATTTAATATTTATTAACAGTGTTCTGCTTACATGTATCCCTGCACACCAGGAGAGGGCACCAGATCTCATAGATGGTTGTGAGCTACCATGTGGTAGCTAGGAATTGAACTCAGGACCTCTAGAACTGCCAGTGCTCTTAACTGCTGAGCTATCTCTCCACCCCTACCTATAGACATCTGATTTCTTCCTAGATGCATTCCTCAGTTGTCTTGTTTTGTTTGTCTACTTTGATTTTAGTAGCTGATACCCTTAATTAAGTCAATAAAGGCCAAGTTGGTTGCAGATGACCATTAGAATTCTTTTAACTAGAATTCAATGTTTCTTTGATTAGAGCAAGTGTTCTTTTTGTTTTTGAGACAGTGTCTCTCCACACATCCCTAGCTGCCCTGGAATTTGCCTGTAGATCAGGCTGGCCTCGAACTCACAGATCCACCTGCCTCTGCCTCCTGAGTGTTGGTACTAAAGATGTGTGCCACCACTGCCTGACTAGAGCAAGTATTCTTAACCTAGGAATGAAGCTATATTTGAATTTTATTGGTTGTCTTTGTAGCCTCATCTACACCTGAGTATCCAAGTGTGCATATTCATGTATATTCATATGGAAGTACAATAAGATGTTGGGTGTCAGCCAGGCGGTGGAGGCGCAAAAACGTTTAATCCCAGGCAGAGACAGGTGGATCTCTGTGAGTTCTAGGCCAGCCTGGTCTACAGAGCGAGTTCAAGAACAGGCACCAGAGCTACACAGAGAAAACCTGTCTTGAAGAAACAAGATGCTGGGTGTCTTAGTCTATTGCTCTGTCTTAACTGCCTTAGACAGGGTCTCTCACTGGCCTAAAACCTTGCCTTTTAGCAAAGCTAGTTAGTGAGAAGGTACCTGTCTCTGTTCCCACCTCCCCAGTGCTGAGGTACAACCGTGCACAGCTTTTGTGTTTTGTTTTGTTTTGTTGTTTTTGGTTTTTGTTGTTGTTGTTTGTTTTGTTTTGTTTTTTGAGACAGAGTTTCTCTGTCAGTCCTAGCTATCCTGGAGCTGGGTGTGTAGACCAGAATGGCCTTGAACTCAATAGATCCTTCAGCCTCTGCCTCTTGTGAGCTGAGATTAAAGGTATACACCACCACACCCAGCCATGCCCAACTTTTTTGTGGACACTGAGGATTCAAACTGTTCCTTGTGCTTATCCATTGAGCCACCCCGACCGAGTCTCAATCCTATATTTTTTATTTTATTCACTTAAGATCATCACTCTAAGTAGGGTTTCTTTTCTTTTTCTTTTTCTCGAGATAGGGTTTCTCTGTAGCTTTGGAGCCTGTCCTGTAACTCACTTTGTAGACCAGGCTGGCCTTGAACTCAGAGATCTATCTGCCTCTGCCTTTTGAGGGCTGGGATTAAAGGCATGTGCCTCCACTGCCCGACCTAAGTAGGGTTTCTTATAGATTCTCAGACTGCCAAAAAAAAAAAAAGGAAAAAAAAAAAGGCTATAGCTTGGGGTTTAAGAGCCTGTCTTGGACATAGTTATTTTCCAGATGTCTAAAAGTCAGGGATCTGGGAAATCTGTTACCTTTGATGTTAGCGGGATAGATATTCACTCCTGGATTTGGAATGAAATTTGCCTTGTGATTTTTTTTTTCATCTCCCAAGACGAGCTTACCAATGTTCAGAAGTAAACAATTTGCAGTAAAAAGAAGATTCAGTGACTTTCTTGGTCTCTATGAGAAGCTTTCAGAGAAACACTCTCAGAATGGCTTCATCGTCCCGCCTCCGCCTGAGAAGAGCCTCATAGGTAAGCCTGTGGTCTTGAATGCCACTTGAGTTTTAACATTTGGGGAATAGAGAAATGGCCAGCCATTTTTACACGTCCTCTAGTGTCAGCCTTCAGCTTTGTAGCACTTTGTTCCCTTTTGAAACAGTCTTTTTATCCCCCAGGCTGGCCTCAAACTCACTGTATAGACCCGAGAGGTCTTCATCCATCCCTTGATCTTTCTGCCTCAGACTCATGAGTGCTAGAATTGCAGGCATGCATTAGGTAAACACTCTACCACTGAGTTACATTAGGACAGTTAATAATTGTTCTTCTCTCCAGATTGAAATTGCTTTATAGACTAGAGGAGGAGCCTTCTTACTGCCATCAAGTGATTGTTGATCTATACTCAGAATCTCGAAACATTTTTTTCTATTATTTTTTGTTTGATTTTTGAGACAGGGTTTTATTGTTTTATTTTTAATTTTATGTGTATGGGGTTTTGCCTACATATATGTATGTATATGCACCAAGTGTGTGGGTGTCTGAGTAGGACAGAGGAGGCTGTCAGATCCCTTGGAACTGGAGTTGTGAGCCACTCAGTGGTGCTAGAACTAGGACCTGCATGCTTTGGAAGAGCAGACAGTACTCATAACCACTGAGCCATCACTCCACACCCTCCCCCACTTTTTTTGAAAAAGGGTCTCACTATGTGGCCCTAGATGGCCTGGAGCTCAGTATGTAGAACAGGCTGGCCTGGAACTCACAGAGGTCTCCTTATACGTGACACCACACGTGCCTTTTTTTTTTTTCTTAAAAAGAAAGGGGGAGGGCTGGAGAGATGTCTGAGCACTGATTGCTCTTCCAGAGGACCCAAGTTCAGTTCCCAGTACCCTCATGGCAGCTCACAACTGTCTGAAGATCCAGTTCAAGGGGATCTGACACCTTCACCCCAATGCACATTAAAAAAAAAAAAAAGACAATATACAATCTAAATCCCATAGTTATAGCCTCTAGCATGGGCAAAACTTAATTAGTAAAGAACTTTTGCTCCATCCCTGCTTTTAACCTAGAAATATCTTTAGATGGCAGTGTGTTGAGTTGTCTTTGTTGCCTTCCTTCAAATGACTCTTTTGAAGGGGGACGGTTTCAAGACAGGGTTTCTCGGTTTTGCTTTGGAGCCTGTCCTGGAACTAGCTCTTGTAGACCAGGCTGGCCTCAAACTCACAGAGATCCTCCAGCTTCTACCTCCTGAGTGCTGGGATTAAAGGCGTGTGCCCCCACCGCCTAGCTCAAATGACTCTTTATAAGACATAGATTTGTCCTTTTTACTGTTTCTGGTTATTTTGTTTCTTAAATTCCATCCTAGGAATGACAAAAGTGAAAGTTGGGAAGGAAGATTCTTCCTCTGCAGAATTTCTTGAAAAAAGGAGGGCTGCTTTGGAAAGGTAAGTGCCTGCCAGCCCTATGGTGGGTCGCTGTAGAGTGATGAGGTTTGCTGCATCAGTGGACAGAGCCGAGGTGAATTACAGCCTCTCCTTCCCATTCCTAATGGCTTTTCCCAAGTCATACCTTCCCACCTCAGTCATAAGACGTCTCTTTCCTCTCCCTCCTGACAGACAATCACAATTCCTTCTGGCATCAGCCAGGGATGGTTCCAGAGTCAGTCGGCTTCTTTTGGAAATGTGAAGAACGTGAAGTGTTTTGTTTGTTTTAGTATTTATAATTTTTATGTGCACTGGTGTTTTGCCTATGTGTATGCTTGTGTAAGGGTATCCAGTCCCCTGGATCTGTAGTTACAGCCAGGTATGAGCCACCAAGTGGGTGCTGGGATTTGGACCGGGGTCCTCTGGAAAAAAAAGTCTTAACTACTGAACTATTTCTCCAGCCCCAAAATGAAGTTTTGAATAGTTACAAACAGGAATTTGCTTACCTGCCTTGTCTGAGGACATTTTAAATAGTAAAAGACACAGGTCCAGACCAGCACTGTGCGACACCCAAACCTAACCTGCTGGTGATTTTTACCCATCAGGTACCTTCAAAGAATTGTGAATCATCCTACCATGTTACAAGACCCAGACGTCAGGGAGTTTTTGGAAAAGGAAGAGGTTCGTATCATACAAAGTTCAACTTCATCATTCCCCTGTCTACCCTTAGTGAAATGAAGCAGGTTCATTTGACAAAGATAATGCTGTAGCCAGTGAATTTGTCCGCCAAAAGGGACAAGGATTTCCACTGCTCTAAAAGAAAACAGCTCTACTGGTATCAAATGGTGATCTCACTGAGTCTCGTAGAAAACAGTCTGCATGGCAGGGCCTTGGCTTGAACAGGTCACTGATGGGTTCACACTGAATGTGTGTCTGTGCTAGGAAACTGAGAGGCATTAGTTAGAATCCCGTCACCACAGACGCAGAACTGCCGCATTGCGAAAGGATTGATTGAAGCAGACAGGGTTGGTTTGTTTTTTATAGACTATGCATAGGCTATTCATGATTGTGGAAAATTGGAGACACTGCAGTCACAAATAACTGAAGAACTACATAAAATATATCCACACAGTAAACTCTTTTGACCACAAACAGAAAGTGTAAAGAAAGACGAGTGTATGGAACATCAAATAGCAAGCACACCCTAAAGCAGAAGTCAGTAAAGGTGGAAATAACATGATCTTAGAGAACTAAAATGATGAGACTGTCATTATGTTTTTGTTTTTAATTTAAAAAAATGTTACTATAATAAAATAGGAATTATTGTAATGAGATTTTTCCCCTTCAAAATGATTTTTTTTGTTGTTGTTGACAATAATGTCAAAGCCTGAAGTCCTTTAATTCTACCTCTGGATAGTTCTTTTTTTTTTTTTAAAGATTTATTTATTTATTATGTATAGTGTTCTACCTGCATGTATGCCTGCAAGCCAGAAGAGGGCATCAAGTCTCGTTATAGATGGTTGTGAGCCACCATCTGGTTGCTGGGAATTGAACTCAGGAACTCTGAGAGGACAGCCTGTGCTCTCAACCACTGAGCCATCTCTCCAGCCCCCGTCAGGATATTTCTAATCTATTCTTGCTCACTTGATAATCCCAGAGCAGCGTCTGTCTTTGAAGACCTTTGAGCTGGGTAGCCCTTTGTGTGGTGGCTGTCCTGTGCTGCAAAATGTTTAGTACAATGAGGAACATGTCTGCCCACTAGATGCCAGCAGCACTCTCTCCCCATCTGGAACAACCAAACTCTCCTTCAGATACTGTCAAATGTGCTCTGGAATGAGTGGCCTCAATTTAAGAAGTACTGAATGACATCCTGAACACCTAAGCCACTTGAGAAACTGATTTTATAACACAGTTTTACTGTGTAAAAGTAGCTCCATGCAGAATATGCCCACCAGGCAGGCGGTGTGATGCCCGCCTTTAATCCCAGTGCTGGGAAGGCAGAGGCAGGTGGATCTCAATGAGTTGAGGCCTGCCTGGTCTACCAAATGAGTTCCAGGACAGCCTGGGCTGTTACAGAGAGAAATCCTGTTTCAAGAACACAAAAAAAGAATATGCTTGTACTTTGCTTCACTGTGGAAACTCTCAAAGTTGTGAGTCCCCTTCTTGCAGAGTGTGCTAATCTAAAGGAGACTTTTTTTTTAATTTGGTTTCTCTACATGAGCATATGTCACCACACCCTGCAGGAGCCTTTGACTTTAACAAAGGAATTCAGTGTCCTGCCAGGAAAAGTGCTTGCCCTGGATTCCTGAAGACCTGAGTTGGGTCTATGCAGAGGTGAAAGGAGAAAACTGACTCCACAGAGTTGTCCTTTGACCTCTGTAGGTGTGCTCTTGCATATGCATACACACACAAAATCATTTTAAAATGTTAAAAAATAAAGGGCCAGGCAATGGTGGCACATGCCTTTAATCCCAGTACTCAGGAAGCAGATGCAGGAGGATCTGGATCTCTGTGTGTTTGAGGCCGGCCTGGTCTATGGAGCAAGTTCCAGGACAGTCAGGGATACACAGAGAAACCCTGTCTCAAAAACAAAAGACAAAAAAAAAAAAAAGCAAAGTATTAATAATAAAATAAAGTAATGCTTAGTATTTAAGTAGCTCACACCTGGATGGGCAGACAGTCCCGCTGTGAGGTTGCCTAACCATGTGACACTCTCCGTCTGCTTTCTTTCTATGAATAACATCAAAAGCTGAAATTCTTATTGATTCTTCTGCCATGGGGCTTTGATTTTTTTTTTTTCTGTACATACTAGGTTTAGATTGCTATAACTTCTTTAGAATACAAGAATCTACAGTTCGAATAACTTGTTTGACAAGTTTTGGGCATACCATCTGATGGATACTAATTCTTCTGAACCTAAAATAGGGGCAGCAGATAACTTGCCATCCCCGCCTTCTTGGTCTTGTAGCTGCCACGTGCCGTGGGTACACAGGCTTTGAGTGGTGCTGGTCTCCTTAAGATGTTCAACAAAGCTACAGACGCAGTCAGCAAGATGACCATCAAGATGAATGAGTCGGACATTGTGAGTAGCTGTGCCCCTCAGATGCCCTGGGAAGTCCTGATATTTCTGAGATGGTTTTCCTTTCAATTGAAAAAAACAAAAACAAACAACAAAAACAGCCTCTGAAGAAAAGCTGCTCCCTGCACTTTGTGAAACATTTTCAACCCAGCTCTGGCCTTGTGTGTTTTCAGTGGTTCGAGGAGAAGCTCCAGGAGGTGGAATGCGAGGAGCAGCGCCTACGGAAGCTGCATGCTGTGGTAGAGACTCTAGTCAACCACAGGAAAGGTAACCACTGGCTCGGAAACACCCTGGACTGGGGACAGCAGTGTCTGTAGCGGCTGGAAATGAGAGGCATCGTGTTCCCAACGCTCAGCCATCCAAGGCGAAATTCTCAGCCCACCTGTTGCTTGATGTTCTGATAAACATGCTATGCCCTGATCTCCTGGCAAGGACCATGACTCAAAGCACCAAGGGCAATGAGTGGAGGGAGCCTGCCTAGAGACATCTGCTATAGTTGATGGAAGTTGGTGACTTGCGTCTGAAATAATAGTGCTTTTGTTACATGGTCATGCTAGCAAGGTGTAAACACAGGGAAGCCATTTGTGTTTCTCCCCTTCCTTTAGTGAGCTTTGCTTCACTGGGAACTACTTTCTTTCTGTGTCCTAAACATACTGGTAACAAGAAATCTAAAAGACCATTAGCATGAAGGCAGTGTAAGGGCTGACAAGCCATGACATGGCTGAGAGGACAGATTTGGACCCTCCCGCCATGAGAAGAATAGAAAGAAAAAGAGTATGGCTGCAGGGACTGTGTGACCTGCAGAGCCTGAGGTATTGACTGGCCCTGTACAGAAAGTTTGCTCTGCTCTAAAAAGTGAGTCGCTGGGTGGTGGTGGCGCACACCTTTAATCCCAGCACTTGGGAAGCAGAGGCAGGTGGAGGTCAGCCTGGTCTACAAGAGCTAGTTCCAGGACAGCTAGGGCTACACAGAGAAACCCTGTCTTGAAAAAAAAAAAAGTGAAAGGGTCTGGGTGTGTGTGTTATGTGTGTCTGTGTATGTATGTCTGTGTGTTATGTGTGT